CATAAACAGCGTAATCTAGACATAGGATTTATCAACAGACTTACCACTGAAGATAGACAAAAATACCCGAAACGGAATATCTATATACAAGCAAAGAAACCATAAACAGCGTAATCCAGACATAGGGTCTTTCCTAGAGAACTTACAACACTAAAATCCGGGATTCGATTCCATAAATGGATAGAGCGCACAGACCCAATTATGTAGGCCTGCTCTAAATATAACATATAAAAAAAGTGCATTTCAACACTATTATGCCTAAACTGAGAAAAGTAATGATAAATGTGATTAACACCTTAAACTAAATGGTATCCATTTTGTATAACCTTTTACAATCTATATCTTCTGATATTTTCATTTTACTCGCTAGGTTATTTACCTGACATAGAGCTTCTGGATCAGCGTAATAACCGGGAAATTCCTGGTTAGCGCAGCTAAAACTGGTTTCTGGCACTTCACCAAAGACAGGAAAGTCTATCCCGGGTTGGCCAAAGGCTTTTAACCCATTCTGTTCTTCTTCACGTTGATTTGGCTGTCCATTGCCATTTTGAAAATGAACTCCGTTAGCACCGTTTCTGTAACCTCCGTTAGCACCGTTTCTGTAACCTCCATTTTCACCGTTTCTGTAACCTCCATTAGCACCGTTTCTGTAACCGTTTTCGTTCCCATTACTAGGCACTACAGTAAAATCGTTACCATTTTCATCACCGTTAACTTTAATGCCATTAGCATAGTCCCCATTGCCTGCATTCTGGTTATTCTGAAAGCTTTGACTGAAAAATATTCCGTTTGATGGACCATAACCCGCTCTCTTTACCTGGAAATATGTATTTTTATTATTTTAGAAAGTAATCATAACATGAAATTTTGAATGAATATAAAATTCTAATAACTTAAAAATACGTTTTCAAACTGTATATGTAAAGTTGAATTTTCCATCGTCTGTCTGATGTCACAAGTTGTTGAGGAGAACTGGCTAAGTCAAAATAGATGAAATTGTGTTAAAGAACACATGTGAGCACCTTAAGATCAAGTTTGAAATGGGTAAGCAATCGCATGAACGTGTGATTCACTGAAAGGATTTTAGGTCTTTTGGTAGACCTGGGAGGCTCACTCTAGACATCTTCCTCCGCCTGCACTATCTTAAATGTATTACTGTAGAATATTTGTGTAATTACGACATGAAGAGCAGAGGTTATGCTATCGTTCGCGTTTGACAACCATTTCAAATTTCCAGCCTTAATGTCACGAATGAGGACTCAACTGTGCGATGAACATTCGATTTGTGTGTTACAGTTACAAGTAGGGGGCGGCCCATTTATAGCATTTCTTCTTAAGTATGGTTTTGCCGAGTACTTTTGCCAATATTTTATTTATCTAAGTTGTAGGAAGTATATCCCAATAAGATTGCTCATTTTATGTATAAACCAGTGCTCATCCAGACTCTTCTAGACGTAACTGATATTTATTCATGGGGGGACGCAGTTGTCATATATTCACAGTACTACACATTTCGTCATATTGAAACTTGTGCAAGTTAATGACATAGCTGTAATAGTGTAATCAAGAGTGTATAAGTATGCTAGTTCTTAATTTTCTTTAAATGAGTACACACTGCGATTCGTTTTCAGTTGCTTTTTCAATACTTAGAGTGAAAAGAACAAGTAACAAATCAGAAAATGATCATTTGTAGAGTAATAATGAAAACTAGATGTGGATGAAAGGTGAAAACAAAAATCATAATAATTTTACAAGTTTCAAGTGTTTGAAGTAACCAATGATTAATGATATATCTACTATCTACTATATGTCTACTAGCTGGAATTTTCATACTTTTGTGTACGTTTGAAGTCATAGTTTGTTATTCGAAGAGACTTATAATTTTGCATATCAATTCCTGAAAACGAGACGATGGTCGTAACATAGTTGTGTACGTTTAAAGTCATAGTTTGTTATTCGAAGAGACTTATAATTTTTACATATCAATTCCTGAAAACGAGACGATGGTAGTAACATAGTTTGTTAAAATTTACTCACAAAAAAAGAGAAGCACGAGAAACATGTTTTTTCATCCAATAATTCAAAATGTTTGAATATTAAGTCGTCAAAACAAAATACGTTTCTTATAAAGATATTTTAATGTGTTCAATCATATATTAGTTTTTTCTTTAAATGATAGCTTAAAAGATTAGGATATACATTAAACCGATCTTTAGGTACTTCAAATGTCGACTAAAGTTTTTACAACGAGAAGTTTGGCAATAAAAAACAGCGAATTATTTTGAATAAGTTATAATACTTTGTGGGTAAAGGATCCTACTTCACTTGCTGGCTAAAACAACACCTAATTACTGTGTACATAACATGTTTTTATAATACTTTTTGGGTAAAGGATTCCACTTCACTTGCTGGCTAAAACAACACCTACTTACTGCGTACATAATATGTTTTTATAATACTTTGTGGGTAAAGGATTCTACTTCACTTGCTGGCTAAAACAACACCTAGTTATTGCGTACATAACATGTTTTTATAATACTTTGTGGGTAAAGGATTCTACTTCACTTGCTGGCTAAAACAACACCTAATTATTGCGTACATAACATGTTTTTATAATACTTTGTGGGTAAAGAATTCTACTTCACTTGCTGGGTAAAACAACACCCAATTATTGCGTACATAACATGTTTTTGCATTCTCTGAAATCAGTTATCATTATTCATGCAGCCTGGTAGAAATACTCAGACATTAAGACTACCCAAGTCCTTCTGTATGAAAGAAGTTCAGTATAGAGTACTGAAGAAGTAAAAACTTACCCTGTTTTCAGCCGTCACGGAAACCGCTAGACCTGTAGACCAGAAAGAGCAAATTATTACACAAAACTACATAACTTTGTGTAACTGGACGAGTTAATAACTCAAACATGGCACAAAAAGTATTGACACTTGGTGTCGCATTCTTTAATTCTGATTGCTTACAGTGAGAGAAACATTATATCTGAGTTACATTCCTTGATATTGTTTGTTAAGCCTAACTCTACATAATGGACTATTTGTCCTGTGCCACCATGAGTATCGAAAGCTGATTTTTAGCGCCATAAGTAGGCAGACTTACCACTAATCCATTGGAAGCTTCTGAGTATTAAAATGTACTTATGCATATATTTATTAACTATTTAGGTAACTTCAACAGATGAGGTACAGATAGTGGTATAGTTATAAAGATTTTCATAATTTATTAACATTATGGAAATTTTCTATTGTGTTTTGAGTAAATAATTAATAACTTAAAAGTCATTAAATCTTAAAATAATCAGTAAAATATTTTGGGAATTTAAATTTAATTTTTTCACGAATTTTTATTCTTTTAATGAATTGTACTGGAATTACTTCGTGAATTTTACCGGAAATGATTTTTATCTGTTCGTAATTTTGTATTAATATGAACTGAATTCAGTTGTATTTGTCTGAATTCTTGTAGTATGCATAATTACTTTGCAAAAGTAAGTAATTTAAAACATAAATTTTGAAATGTCTGTGTTCATGTTTGCGCTAATTTTGTTAATAATTCTGGAAATACTAAATACCACTTTTTCAACTCCTCTGTGTTTACACATAATCTCTGTGTTTGTAGTTATTCTAGTGTTCTTTTTAACGCGTTCAGTTTTCATTAAAATCTTTTAGCCAACTGATGGAAATATATTACTAATGCTGACATAATGTGCCATGAGTACTGGATTGTTTGTTTGTTTGGT